TTAAATGAAGCGAAAAGCGCCAGCGTAAAAAATGCGCGGCCGCGCGGGGCGTCGTAATTACAGTAAATCGGTTTGGAGCGGCGTGATTGCGGCTGTCGCGCGGACGCGGCGGGCCGAGTTCAAACGCCGCGCGGCGGAACGAACCCCGATCGCGACGGCGTCGGCTGCACATTGGAGTGGCGTCGAGTGCGGCGCCGTTGACACGCAAAATGCCGTTGGCAGTCGGTTGGGGGGGGGTTCTTCTTTAAATCATAATGTAGGTGGAGCGGGGGGGGGGGGGGTTCTTCTTTAAATCATAATGTAGGTGGAGCGGGCCTGTCGCCGGCGTGACAAATCCCCTCCTCGTTTTCACCTTGTACTCGTGGCACCGCAACGAGCGCGGCGCACCCCAGCGGAGCGCTTCCCCACCTAATTGAAATTTTTGGAGGTCTAAGAGGATTTCCGCACAACGCCAGCTGACAGTCCCCATTCACGGAATATCCTCTTAGACTTCTTTCTCTTCTCCGCACGTCTGCGCGCGTCTCTCCGCGAGAAAGAATGAACTTTTATCTGTCTCCGAGCGTTAGCACTACCAAACAATTTCAAAGGCAATTCACGGAGGCGTCTGCTGTCATTGTGGTGGTTTACATGTGAGGATCCAAAATGGAGGCCGCAAAGACAGGAAGCTTCAGCGATGCCTGCGGCTCTTTTTGGCACTCACTGAAATCGAATTATTCTTTACATTCCGTCTTTTATGAGCTTTTTTGGGGGGGGGGCATACAAAACTGTGAAAAAAAATTGTGACTTTTTTTTCGGGCAGGAATGCACTCATGGTCATTCATTTCAATGCGGAGAATTGATCGCGGCCGTTCGCGGTCTCAGCCGTCGCACTCTCGAGGGCTCCTTTGATTTATTTTTCTGACTTTGTGATGAGATAAGCAACCGCGCTTGAAACAACACGAAACTGCGGTGTCATGCGCGGGTGCATGAAACTTCAATTCAACCCCCTTGATAACTCGCCGCTAATTTTAGTCAAGGGGGGGCATTTGCGGAATGCATTTTCAAGCCTTGAATGTGTCCCAACTATTTGCCTCGCTGGTGATTTTTTTTTTTTTCTTCGATTGTTTTTGCGCTCAGTGAATCAACACATGCCTTTAGGGGGCTTTACCGCAGTCGCTCCTCTTGTTTTTTTTTTTTTAATTTTTTTCCCCCCTATTTCCCTCACTCTCTGCCAGCGATGCAATTTCGTACCTCAGTAGGGGAAACGTCCAAGCGGCTTGCCAGTCTGTTTAATAACGGAGT